GTTGCGGCGGTACCGGCCGGTTTGTATTGTCTAATGACAAAAAAGCTGTGATTGTTGTATATAAAGACATTCTATAGTATATTTACTATCAGCATTGCACCCGTGCGAAGCATAGTGTACAAATAATACCATTACACCAATTCCTTAACCGCTATCCCGGTATGTTTGTGTGTTTGAAGAAGTTTCACTTTAGTAGTGTGTTGTATAATTACACGTTGTATTTTTTTTTTTTTAATTACATCTTTCAAGTTATGCTCAAAAATTTGATTTTTTCTCTTTCTCAATTGGTGAGCTTAAATGTGACCATGGGCTTCGAAGTCATTTGAAGACCAAGTCTTTAAGAGGGAATATCTTTACATTCTTTTGACCTCAGCAGTGGAAACTTGATAATCGAAAAAACTGGGCTGATTTGCTCTTAATTTTACATATACCTAATTTTCTTTCAACCCATTTGCCCATCCTTCGGGAAGTCTACATTTTTGTAAATTCTTGGATGACGTAATTTGACAGAGAGCCATTTTAGCGGGGTCTTTTATCCAACTATTACTAGGTTTCATTATATAAATTTCCTGTTTTATAATTAGTTTTAATTTTTTTTTTAACTAAGATGTTCCAGTAATTATGAGTTTAACGAGATTCTAGTGTATAACGATTCCAAAAAATGTAATTACTCCACTACCCTGACCTGAATTTCGCCCCCAATTTTCCTCTTTCAACGTCAGTGTTATTAAAGCTGAATGCTGCCAGATAAACAACAGAAGTCTTCTTTCATTCCATCGCAAACATACGAATATTTCCTTTAAGTGAAACGTAATTGTTGTGTGCTGTTCTCGTTTCCTTAAAGGGAAGATGACGTTATCACTAAAAGGATATTGCGACCATAAACCTGATATGAGGTAATCATGCTTGACATTACGTAAACAGTATGTTTTCTTCAAGCATTTACGAGACGTGTGTGCAATTTTTGCTTGCGGGTGTGAACTAGTCTTAAATTAAATAAGTTGCAGGGCCTGTGGGGGTGTGAATCATTTTGTCGTTTATATACAGGCTGATACACAAATACATTACATGGTTTGAGGCAGTGATCTGTCATCCGTAAGTACGTGTTATGATCGAATATGGTAACGTGCCTATCACGTTGAGGTTAGCTACGCCGGGATTCGTTTCAGCAAGTAGATATCCATATATTTAAACGGACCTTGTAGCATCGTACTACAGATGGCGTTTACCGCGCCATTTGTGGTATTTTCTAAAAGGCGCTGTTAAGACAGCAGGTAAAAGTTGGTCTGTGTTCTGTCGAAGCTGTCTGCGACGCGCTGATGAGACCCAAAAAGATCGAAATCGCGATCCGCGTCTGGCAGTTTCCACAGAATACAGACCACTTCGAATTATTTTATTCGAATATGGCAACGTGCCTATCACGTTGAGGTTAGCTACGCCGGGATTCATTTCAGCAAGTAGATATCCATATATTTAAATGGACCTTGTAGCATCGTACTACAGATGGCGTTTACCGCGCCATTTGTGGTATTTTCTACATGTTATGATATCAAAAATCTGTCTTTATTATCATCATATTGTCAAGTAAAATAACCTAGTGATAATCTAATCTAACCCTAACGTAACGTAATTACTGTTTAGGTGACATTTTGCTAACCTAGCCTAACCGGATATAACAATAGGTTAGGGGGTCGTTCATAAAATAGGTTCGCAAATAAGGGGGAGGGAGAACTATTGCTAGTGTGATGAGATATGACAAGGGAGAGAGTGGGCGGCTATAAAGAAATGTAACATTCGCAGTTCAACAATTGTATTTTAATTTTTTTCTTAATTCACTCAAAATTCTTCATTATGATAGAATGTCCTTCACATTGTTATTTTTAATCTCAATAAATCGTTTAAAGGGGGTCCAAAATGGTGAAACTCTGAGTGACGTATTGTATATGGACGCCCTCTTACGTTAGCTTTTCTTTTTAATGATGACACCATAATTTTTACTACATGTCGCACATTATTATGAAAAACAGCGTTATATATAAATTATAATTTCCTAATTAATTCTGTGTTACATAACGCGATGATTATATGTAATACGAAATGGAAAAAGGGAATTTGTTAAATGTCAGTTCTAAGATATAAAATTTTTATGTTTCATTTTTATTTCCTTGAACACAGTATCACATGTGTATTCTTTATATGAAATATTTTTAAATTCCCAGTCCATAGGGATGTTATTGTAATGGATTCGATCATAAAAATCATAGTTTTCAACATATTCCAAATTTTAAAGTGAAAAAAGCATTACAACATAATTTCTAGAAGTATTAACGACAATATGATCTGAATAGAATTACATAACGTTCGGTCGAGTCGTTTTTTGTTTAAATTTTTTGAAAAAGATTTCTGATCTAATTGGTTCTCTTACATAAGTCGATACTGAAAAAACCAAATGCTTCATCCTCAGTACTAGCCAATAAACTTTTACAGTTTTTTGTAACAGAAAAATGGCAAAAAACTATAAATATTTGATATTAATGATAAATAAAACGGTGAATCGATTAATATAAATTTCATTGAGTTTTCACTTCATCATCATAATTATAAGGTTGTCAGTCCTAAGACTGGTTGGACACGAACCTCCACTCTTTCCTATCCTGAGCTAAACTTTCCGTTTCCCTAGCAAAAAAGATACGGTAATTCGTGCTAAAACGAACCGTCCAAACCTCAGGTTTTTAGCCTTTATGGTTTAGATGCTATTTGGTCTCATTCAAAGACCTGAAATAGTGTTTTTGTTTTAAAAACAATTAAATATTTCAATAACTACTAGAAATAGGTATTAAAAAAAAAAATAAGTTGTTATTAATTGGCAAGTTGTTCGTGAAGACTTCAAAAGTCGCCCCAGGGATGCGACACCCACAGTCCAGGCGTAGGTACATGTTTTTTAACACGACGAGTAATTTCTTGTACAAATATTAAAATTTCTGAGAATTCGGTGCGTAGGAGGACCTACTCCTATCACCTTTTTTTTGTGTTACAAAGAGTCGGAGAGCAGTTTCTGCTTTCTTTTCAATTTTTATTAAAAAGGTTTTTTCCAAACATGTTTTTTGTCGTGCGAATCGCTAATAGAGAAGGAAACCACAAATTTAATTAAAGTGATTGTATTTTTTAATTGGAAAATCCGAAGTTTTTCCAAGTACCTACCTACCTACCTATAATGGTCTACGTTTCATTTATTAATATTGGGCACTTTCTAATGAGTTCTTTTCAAAACTAACGTTTCAGAAATTAATCGTTATAATTTTTTTTTATCGAGAGCTTTATTACAGTAATTGAATTTTGGTTTCTTTTTTAACAAAAGTCTATGTATTAATTTTTTAAGTATGATTCTCTAAGAGTATCCTTTAAAATTGTGTAGTTCGTTGTGTGTGTTTAAAGTTACTCCTACAGTAGTTGCCTGGTTTGGCCTCGCTAGAGCTTTCTGTCTTATTCCCTACAGAAACACAAAAACCCGAATGTTGATTTGACAAGAGGCAATGTCTTAATAGTATAAGTAAAAGGAAAAATCCCAACATAGACTTTTTAATTTACCCTCATATATACAGGGTGTTCCACCTAAGGCGGTTTCGTCCATAACTCTGTTATTATACATTTAATAAGAGAACTGTTTTTATAAAAGTGGTTTGGAATCGTATGGTGCATATACAGAAATTATTTTTAGTCATACAACCGGATGTCTATTTCTTATGGACGCTACCCAACTTCGTTATTTTAAATGGAACACCCTATATATTTTTACATTTTTGGTTTCTTTGTTTAAATTTAGGTAGACTTTGTTAACAGTTCCCTATACCTATCTCTAGTAGTTATTGAAATGTTCAATTGTTTTTAAAACAAAAACGCTATTTCAGCTCTTTGAATGAAATGAAATAGTATCTAAACCAACAAGTAGATATCCATATATTTAAATGGACCTTGTTGAAGCATACGTAATCCTAAAATGTAGCACTGCACTACAGATGGCGTTTACAGCGCCATTTGTCGTATTTTCTAAAACGCGCTGTTAAGGCAGCAAGTAAAAGTTGGTCTGTGTTCTGTCGGAGCTGCCTGCGACGCACTGATGAGATCCAAAAAGATCGAAATCGCGATCCGCGTCTGGCAGTTGCGACAGAATACAGACCACTTCAAATTATTTTATTAAACCATAAAGGCTTAAAACCTGCGGTTTGGACAGTTCGCTTTAGCACGAATTACCGTATCTTTTTTGCTATGAGTAAAATGTGTACGTTATCCATAGCCGGAAATATCGGAACCTACTTTTAACAATATTACAAGACGAATAACTTTTTTCAAATGGAATTTTTTCTGAAAGACTGTTAGAGATAAATATTTAAAACCTTACATCAGTAGATGGTCACATTCAAAGACCTGAAATAGTGTTTTTGTTTTAAAAACAATTGAATATTTCAATAACTATTAGAGATAGGTATAGGATACTGTTAACAAAGTCTACCTAAATTGAAACAATGAAACCAAAATTGTAAAAATATATAGGGTGTTCCATTTAAAATGACACAGTTAGGTAGTGTCCAGAAGAAGTTCAACACCTTGTACGACTGAATGTATTTTCTGTACATGCACCATATTATTTCAGACCACTTTTATGAAAACGTTTTTTTATTAAATTAAATGTAAAATAACAGAGTTATGGATGAAACCGCTTTAAGTGGGACACTCTGTAGATGTACGTATTGAAGAATTAAAAAACTTGAAACATGCAGAACAGTTTAACGAGCCATTTTCATGACAAAACCCCATTACAAAATCGACTGGTGCAGAATAATGTTATCTTTGCAACCGTCATAGATAAGATAGACGACCTAATGTTATGGAAACTATTATACAACTTACCATCAGGTTCTTGGCGAACATCCAGAATAGTTTCAACAAATTCCCATATCCCTGCCCATCCAACTGCTCCGCAGAATTGTTCATTAACACGTCATGTATTGTAGGTATCATAAATCGTGAAAGTAGTTTCAAAGTTTTACCAAACGGTGATTTTCGACGAGATTTTTATAATATTGTATTACAAAATCGCATCTTAAAATGTTCTTGAATTCTGATTGGAAACTAACGTGGTGTAATGTTCTTGTCCTACATTTTAAGAAGCTGACGAATTAAAGTAGCCCTATCAATTACTATTCTTAGCCGAAACAACAAAACGAAATCAGGAAGTACATTAAGAAAGAAAATATTTATTTGTCAGTTGAAATGTCGATGATCTGTTATTGACAGATGACTTTTATTGACAAAATGTAGTGGTAGATATTGAAAGAAATTAATTATGTGACGTGATCCATCATAACTTTCTTGCTGTACGAAACTCGTTTTATTTTCAGCCTCCTCTAAATAAATAAAAGTCATGTTAATTTTAAAAAAATTTGCGCATATATACTTTCATTAAAATTTGCGTAGACATTTACACTTTCGGGCATAATCAATCTTGCCGATTGAGACATTATATTGTCATCAAGCTTACGACATTTTTTCCCGGCTTGAATCCGGTAGCATATTTTTTAGGATCCTGTCGGGTGCCGGATAATGACGCCGAGTACCAGAGAAAAAATAAAAAACAAACACCAGCAACTTTTTGTTTTAATTTTTGATGATTTTGTCACATTGAAGACTTCTTGTGTTTGTAAACATTATAGGCTCATTTCAACGGTTTCAAAACGGATCCCCTAGTTGAAAATCCACCAAGCAAGAATTTTAATTTTTGATTGGTTTAGTATTTGAATGACTTTTTGAGTTGCGTTGATGAAGGTGGTATTTAATGAAAACAAAGACATAAACCATTAACCACAGTTACGTCGATTATCCGGTACCCGGCAAAACCACTATCCAGGGCACAGTGGGGATAATATAAAGAACCAGTTGGGAGTCATTTTGTTAGAAGATGAGGAAAAGGCGAATAAATGGAAAGAATATTTAGGGAATTTATACTCAGAACATGAGTTACGGGATGTATTAGAAAAAGAGGACAGCGTGAAGGTAGATAGAAGTAGAAAACCTCATAATATGATAAGTAAATAGTCCAGTCAAATGGGGGAAATGGCTGAAGAGTACCTTATAATAGAGAAAATGATTAAAACACGGGTCATTTTATCGGAAATTTCGTGAGGAACTCGAATATGTAAATGAAAATTATTTGCCTGACATAGGGGGGGGGGATCCGCAAAAGCAATTGTAAATTCGATTATCTCGCGAAATATGAGATATGAAAAAAAATCGAATAAGTTTTTCACAATGTCATTTTGCAAAAACAAAGTATTAACGACTTTTTTTCATATCTCTCATAGAACAAGAGTTCTGCGCTCCTCATGCCTGAGGGCTCAAAATTCGCGGAAATTTTTAAAAAATTCAAAATAATTATTAAAAATTTAAAATTGATAATTTACTCGATTCGTAACTTATCTTAATCGGCTAAATTATTTTTTCAGAGAATTTTTTTATCTATTATTTCATTGTTTTTCTAAACAATTAAACGTTTAGACCGCTATGACTTTGTTAAAAATTGTCCAAATGCGTTACTTTTTGCATCAAAATTTGCAGCAGCCTAATCGGAACAAATTCGCATTTAACATTTTTCTTTTGACAATTTTTAACGGTGTTATAGCGGTTTAAACATTTAATTGTTATAAAAAACATTGGGCGCTCAGAACTATTGTTCTATGAGAGATATGAAAAAAGTCATCAATACTTTTTTTTGCAAAATGGCATTGTGAAATGATTGGATCCGATCAATAAAAGGTATAGCAAAAAGTTGTTCCTAATGCCAAAATATGGGACCATCCAAAATCACTGCAATCTTTAGCGTGGCCCCGTATCTTGGCATTACGAACATTTTCCTATAACTTTTTCGATTGTAGCCATATTTATTATAGCTGCCATTAAAGAAACCTTATATTGTCTATTTTTGAACACTCTGTAAAGGAAATCAAATTTGGGTAATAGACGATCTTGTATTAAAACAGAGAACAAGTTTTGTTTAAAAAATTTTTTCGATTAAACTTACAGTTTGACCGCAATGAGTATATTACGTATTTTTTGGGCCGCCGTGTATATATATTACGTCTATTACTTAATCTTATCATACAATTAGACAAATAAATAAACAATCAAATATTGATTTTTTATTACGATTATACGTGAATTTGTCATAAAAAGTAGACGATACGATACTTAGGATAAGTACATATATTCACGGTTAGCTTATCAAGGTCTCAACTTCATGTAATATTTATGTATGTAGCTTGTGTTTTGTTCATGTCGTGTCAACGCCGCCTCCTGTTAGTCATTTGATATTAACGATACTGTCGATTATTAAATGTTAAATGATAAGATAGAAGTTCATTTTAATTTTCTGAATCAACGCTATCCGTTCTCAAGTTAACCAATAATGTTGATTGGTATCGGTTACAATCGAGAACAATTTTTTTTTTATTTGTGTTTTAAAGTGTTTGTAATTGTTTTCTTTTATGGAAAAACACAGTACCGTACGCAGATGAAAATATCAAAGTTCTTTATCATTTTGTAATACCTATACATGTATATACTTATGTAGGCATATTACTTTAAAAAAATCGATATTTGAAATTAATAACATATTTATGTAAATATGTATAATGCAAATGCGAAAGAAATACAATAATCAACAATTGCTTTTGGCAGAAAAAACTAAACTATTGTAATCGTGGGTTTAACAAAATTAACTTCTAATACTGATAACGACAAAAACTATTTATTTACACTAATTATTGAAGAACAAAAACACTATTAAATTATTACTAAACTTAGGTTATGAATTATTCTATTTATTTACACTACTGTTGATATACCACTATTCACTGCGCTAGTTATTTCACTGCTATCACTCTCAATTATTTCTCGATTCACTTCTGCAACGGTCAATTGATTTCTACTTCCTCTCGACGATCGTCTCTTCCTTTAAATACTCTTTTGTTTACTTTAAAGAACCTTCTGGAAACGTCCGGATAGTTTATTTTTTCTTTGAACTGTTTAACTGCTTTCCCAGAACGCAGGTACGACACACACATTTACAAATATCGGCGAATCGATAAGTCGTTCACGCACACGTGATCGTGCCCGTTTGCACACAAACACACTCGTGCTCGCTACACTCTGTACTTGCATGTATGTACATATAAGTAGTACCTATATTGAAGAATTTTTAAGGAGTTCCGATATTTTTATCCATTGTACAAATATGTAGATATCATTACTGCTTTTGTAACCTACTTTAAATGATACCTATTTGTTGGCTGAATCATTTTTTCGATTATTACTCAAAAATGAATAAGAGCATTCCAATTACAATCTGTGTCGATACGTAACAATGTAATATTACAATAAGACACCTTGCACACTGACGATCAATCCGGCGACCGGTTATTTCAGCAATTAGGAGAAGAAAAACTGCTGCTATTTTATACACGGTATCGGCGATCGGCCGGATATTTGATTTCCGTACCGTTCTGCATCCGATGCAATATACATTATACATGTTTCAATTATTTTATGTTGTTTGTTACAACATTATATTTACTACAACCGATAGAGAAGCGTATACGCTACTAGAAACGCTTGCAACAAATAAACGCTTCGATAGCTTTTAGGCGAAGCTTTTCTGAACATTTTAGAAACGTTTGTGCATTTTGAAGAAAAATGTGCAATGAAGGTTGGTGTTGTCTATATAACAAGAAAGCTATAGATTTATAGTTGTTGTTATCTTCCTTTCTCATGCGATTTTAGGATTAGGATTATTTTTGTCTTTAATTGGTCACTTCTTTTGACCGATTTCCCATAACATCGTCCCTTGTTCAATTCCACAACTGAACCCTCCAATATCAAAATTAGGAATAGGCAGGTCAGGTACCTGGTTTGGATCTAGTACCCGGCGGATCCGGCAGAATTTACAATATTCCACTATAAATTACCTCAAGTTAATGAGGAAAATCTTATTGCTGTTGTCACACCCTCGCTCGGAATCGAATTTTCACATTAATATTTGATATGTTAACCACTATTAAATATCAATGTGTTTCATATACTATTAATTTATTAAGNAACCCCCTGTTACGGTAAAGCCTTGTTTTTGTTTTTGACTGTTATCAACGTAATATCAATATCTATTAATAATTAAATCGTCTGATTAAAGTAGTTAAGTAGATCACTTGTTTTTATTAATACATGATTCAGCCTAGCTATGTGAACTTGAGTGTTATTTATTCATTACGATTACTTGTTAAACAGCTTTACACACCTATGTATTTATATTCTTACTAGACATTTATTTAGCATATCTAAATTTTACAAGTACCATCCGCCTGAAATACCACATTTCGAAAGCTTCTACCGTTTTCTTTTCCGCCGCGCCCACTGTCCATGTTTCGCACCCGTACAATGCCGTGCTCCAAACATACACCTTTAACAACCCTTTTCGAATCTATAAATTAATCGTTCGCAAGCATAGAAGTGACTTCTTTTTATTAAAGGCGACACGACCCTGCGCTATCCTCTGCTTTATATCCTTACTACTCCTTCCATCCTGACTCACCTGACTTCTTAGGTATCTAAAATCAGCCACTTCTTCTAATTTTTCGTCTCCTTTAAAAAAACAAAAACAAAAAACCTACCTAATGAAAATTGGTAATTAAGTTTGTTCTGGGATAGATCGTTTGTGCTAATTTGTATTATTTATTGATTACTATTTCTTATTTCGATATGACCGAACTGTTACAATTTCTGTCTCTATCTATCCGGTTTTGATTAACAGTAACTTATTAGTATGATTTTGCCACCTTGCAAACTTTTAATACTTATAAACATTATGAGCTCGTTTCAACTCGACCATCTCTATGAAAATCCACCAAGTAAGAATTAAAATTTCATTGTTTTAGTGCTTCAGCGAC